CCCCTTCCTCGGGCCGCGGAAGGGACGCTGCCGGGCTTCCCCGGGCAGGGCCGAGCCTGGGAGCACAGCCCGGCCCCGCGGGCCCCCAGCGCTGCGGGCGGGAGCGGGAAAGCCCCTCTCGGGGCCCGGCCACGGGCTGATGGCTGGGGCGGGGTGAGGGCCGCGGGGCAGCCCGGGGAACACGGCCCAGCTCGGGGAACACGGCCCAGCCCGGAGCCCCCTGGCTGCGGGGGGCTGCGCGGCCTGTGAGCACCCACCGCAGGGCCCAGCAACGCCAAGGCAGGCGGGTCTGGACGCTTACCCAAGGCCCGGGGCCTGACTCTGACACACTGCATTCCCAAAATGTCATCAGTGAGAAGGGAGAGAAACACGAGTGTTATCACGCTTTTTAAACCTCAGCAACAGAGTTCTTCAGGGGATGACCCCCGTCACAAGCCATGCGACTGTCCCATCCCATCACACACAGAGCCCCAAGCTCAAAAAAAGCTGGGTAACTTAACTTCATGCCAATAGCAATTCCTATCTGCATTTTGAAAAGGGAAGGGCCTTGCTGCCCGTACCCTGGGTGCTCCCAGCCCCAGCTGTTGGGATTTGCTGTGGCAGGGCCAAAGGGTCAAGGCCGGGCAGGAGCAGGGCCTCTGGTGGATGCAGGTGCCCTGTAGAGTTGATTGCTGCAACGTATTAGTGCTCCCACAATAGTTTCCCATCAAATAGATTGAATTTTTGTGGTCTCCTGTGAGTTCTTCTCTTCTGAGTATAAGACATTATTTCCTGCCTCCTTCCCTCTCTGTTGAATGCACTTTTTTTTTTTTTTTTACCTGCTAACATTGGTATTCCAATTAATATATTTGTTAGAAACAATGGAGTTAAATTGAGCATGATCTTTGTACAGTCTTACCTTCTCTTTGGATTCCATTTCGTTATACTTTCTGTTTTCTTTCAAGGAGTCTCACACAAATACGCATTCAAGTGGTGTCCCTTTAAAAAACAGAGCAAAATTAGCATTAATGATCGCACCTGTAGGGAAGAGAGGTGAGAGCGAACCAGGAGGCAGAACTGATAAAAGGCTGCTATGAGCAGTTGCCTGTTCTGGAAAGGGGGGTGTTAAGCTTCCTAGGCTAAGAGTGGAGGTGAGAGGTAAAGGTGAAAATGGAGTCTCTGTGGTGTGAGCAGGGGATTACAAAGGTCTCTCTAGCCGAGATTCTGAGGTGTTTTGAACATCCCATAAGCGAGGAGCAAGCCTGGGCTGTCTGCTTTCAGTGTTGCCGTAAAATGGAGCAGCTGGCTCAGGGGCTGTGCCCGCCGCTCCATTCTGTATTCATAAAAGGTCCTGGAAGCATCTTTATCCATGCTGACGGTACTGCTTCCTTCAAGGTGTACTACAAGTCTGGTAAGAGCATAGGTAGCTGTGGATGCCAAGGGCTGTTCCTGTAACAGGCTGAAATGTGGGGACAAAGTGGGGAATTTTCTTTTTCCTGCTCTTTTTTTTTTTTCCCTCTCCTCTCTCTGTATGTTGTTATGAAGCTATTCTGCTGCCCATACTTCATTTCAAAGGGCTGTGAGGGAGTGGCAATACAGATGTACGGCCTACTAATTTTTCTAATAGTGCTCTAGCGAGTCATTTGGTTCTAGGGAGTAGCTGGGAAGAAAGTTTGTTACCGCTTAATGTTATCTGAAATCAATAGTCTGAGGCTTTATTATATGTCCTGCTCTGTTCATCTTCCAACATATGGCTCCTTTGTTATAGTAACTCTCAGGACAGATCTACGATGGATAGTTTCTCTTTTTTGTCGCTATGCGTAGCCAGCAAGTGGCAACAAGCTTGTCTTGGACGCCGCTTGGTTGCACTGCTGCAGAGGCCAATGCTAGGCTGACTCTTCAGGGACAAGAGCGGGTAACAAAGAATGAAGACAAAGATCCAGTGCCGTCCTTGTGGTTAGAGATCTATTAGCAAACAAAAAAAGTACGCAGCCGCAGTTAGTTTGGGGCTAATGCTCGCAATAAGAAGAGTCTCCTGTGTTGCTTTCCAGGAGTCCCCAAATATAGGCCTACTTTTCCCAGGTGGGACTGACCTTAGTCAGAGGGGTTCGTTTCCTTATTACCAAGAATTCTTCCTGTTTCTCTCTCTTTGCAGGGATTCTAAAAGCTGTTTATCAATGCCTGTGCAGTTATCTTTCTTCCCCTCCCCTCTTTGTTCTCTTTCAGATGTTGGCAGCATTCAGCAGTCAGAGGACAAGGTAAGCCTGTGTCTTCACCTTCATTATGTGTGCAGATATAATCCTGCTGCAGTAGGCGGCCAGCTCAGGAGATGCAGATGTCTTTGGAAGCTGTCAAAGCGCTCAGATTTGCTGTGCCCTGTGAGAGTCACTCTCTCCCCTGCAATCTGGAAAATGAAACAAGATGCTAGGACTGAACTCAAGTAAGACAATGGGACTGGGAAACAATGTGCAGAGATGCTGCCTACTGTCGAATAGCCCACAGTCTTTTTGTCTTAATAACAGATAACTTAGAGGTGCCAGATAAGGCCATTTAAAAATCTTAAAACAGCTTGTTTAGGGAGTATCTCAGGCTACCCGATGAGCATCTAGCTGCCTTTTAGAGGCCCTTCTCATCCCAAGAGACGTGCTCAGCCCTGAGGGGCAGCAGAGGGTGCGTGGATGGCTGGGAAGCAAGAGCTGTGAAATTCTCCACAACGCTTTGTGCCGCACTGCTTCTTTGTCTGCAGCTCTTGGAGTACTTGGGAGTGGTGATCTATGAAGCCCTGGACTGGGGAATCGACAGCCAACTGGAGCGAGAACTGAGTGATCCTTTGGAGAAAATGCTGTGCCTCATGTTGAAACTGGATGATGAGGCAATGAAACCAGCAGTCACCCTGCAGGATGTTATCAAGGTTTCCTTCTTCCCATTTAGTAAATATAGCAGCTTTAGAGGAGTTGATGGAACAGTGCTGTTAAGCAAGGGGCAAGACCATTTCTGGGAAAAAGCTGGGTAGCTTGTTGGAGGACAAAGAGGGAGCATGTGGCTTTCCCATCAGGGGAAAACGTAAAACCATCTTAGGTGTGTAAAAGTGCCTGTGGAAAAGAATTAAGAAGGAAGACAGCATGGCTTTCACACAGCTGTGTCTGCAAAGTCCTTCTGTACGTAGTCTCAGAATTTGATACCTAGAAGACTATGGATATTGGAAAAAGTCACTTGTCCATAGTATTCAGTTTCTGCAAGAGCTGGGATTTGAATGTCTCAACTCAAACAAATAATTTCCTCTCAACCATAATTTAAAGGTATGAGAAACTTCTCATCCCTCAGTCTGACCAGGGCAGGGGAAAAGAACGGGGCAAGTGACTCCACCTGCTGTGGGTTTTTGTGCTTTGTCTGCACTGGAGGCTTCCCCTTCCAGGTACTTATTTCAAAGCACACCTTATGGAGAACGAGATCTATAAATTACACAGCTACTTACATTATTGTACATATAAGACTGGACTTCTTGCTTCTTTGTTCTGTTGTATCTTCAATAGAAAAAAAAAAATACAAAGGGGCTGTGAGGAAGATGTTTTTTAACCACGGATTGACAAAACTGAATCTTGCTTTATTCCATCCTACCATGTTTTTTCATTTCAAGATCTTTTCTAAATAGCTGCACTTCTTTCAGGCCTGTGAGGAGCACTTGTCCAGGCCTTCTGAGGCTATCAGCCATTACGAAATGACCTGTAGGAGTCTGTTTACTGAATATATAGAACTTCAGAAGCTTGTGACCATCATCCAGACCTCCAAAGAGGTACATTTGGGATCACCCCTTAGCTGCTACTCCCTCTACCTTCACACACTCACCTAGTTCTAAAGTAACCTTCCCATTGCAGAAATGGAGTACCTAGCTGAACGTCTATTTTCACAATGTGAAAGGCTGCACCATATTAGTAATTTATTGTAGCTTTTCAAAGTTTGGGTGTTTGGGGCTTCTAGGCTTTTCAGATTAGTGATTTATACTGGATAGATAGGAAATCACTGAACAGTACAAGGTAATGACTGCACGTGCTTGCTTCTTAGAGACTGAGAAAAATGGATGTGGAAGATTTGGTGGAAAAACCTCTTCAGAAGAAGGAAAAACACTGGGTAAGGGTAATTCCTTCATTATGAGGCATTGGGGTTTTTTGTCTGCCTTGGCTCTCTGAGGCTTTCCGTTGACTCTTCTATCAGAAGTAGAGCTTGAATGCAAACAAAACTCTTTAGGTTGTTCAAGAGCTTAAGTAGTTAAAGACTTATCTGCAAAATAAGTTGGGGGGTGAACTTGTAGTTAAACTATTTTGTGTGTTAACCTCACGTGGACATCTACATTCTACACAAGGATTGTCTTTGTAGTTCAACTTAAACCACTTCTAAAAATGAAGTTGGAGGCAGTCTTTGGAGTAAGTGTCCACAAGTAGTTACTCAGGCTGTTTGTTCCTTCAAATGAGCCCCAAACGCCAGCTCTTGGCAGGAACTGACACTTGCCAAAAGCAATCTGTTCTTTTCTTGTAGCTGGACTGAAAACTCCCAGAAAACTGTTCTGTTGGTGGTAGTACTGGGGTGGACTAGTTCGCTCTTATTATGTGGGGTCTGTGCTTGTTCAGGGCTGGAGGGGACTGAAGGCCAGTAGCTCTGTCCGTCTTTGTGGCTGTGCAGCTCAAAGAAAGAGGTGAAGGAGGGGGAGGCTGGAGGTGTAGCTCCTACCTTCTGCTCCCTGCCTTTCTTGTCTTTCCATTCTGTCCTTCTGTAGACCTTGGACTGTGTGTTTGGGGCAGAGAGCAACTTATTCTGTTCTTTTCAAGGCCCTGCACAGTCAGGGCTCAATCAGAAACAAATAGCTCTTCTGGCTGGAGCTCTGCCCGGCATAAACAAATGCACTGTAGTCTGGAGTCTGTGGAGACAAACGGCAAGCCCCGAGAGACTTGTGGACTCGCTCCCTTTGTCTAAATAGCACTTGCTTTGAAGCGTGCTCAAACTATTCGTATGAAAATGTTTGTGAAATGTGTGTTTGGGCATATTCTCAATTTTGTGATCTATTAAAACAAACTGGCAAGCTATCTCAAACCACAAACTCATCAACTGCTATAGCTCTTTCCTGCAGGGAATACATGAATAAATACATGGGCTTTGCCGTGTGGCCTGAAGGCCAGCGTATTTGGCCTCTGCTCCTTCAGGAGACATGAATTCCAAAAGCAGGATGTCTCTTGCAAATCCTCTGCCTCTGGTTTCCAAGTCCCAAAGCACCAGTTGATTGCATTGCTCTGACAAACTCTTGAGTTTAAAATAACCGGGATGCCAGCTTCACTGGGATCCCACAGATCAGAGCTGGTGCCTTGAGTGGTGCCAAGCAGCTAATGGTCTCTGTGGAGCACGCTTTTTCATGTTGACTGCTATGAAACAGGCCTTCTGAAACACAGACGACTGGCTGATAGCATGCAGGGTTGTATAGTTTCAGCAGACCTTATTCGTATATGTCACAAGATGATCTTCACCTTGAAATCTAAGCAGTGAGACCTCTTAGGTCTCACAGCTGTCTTACCACTCATCTGTTGAACTGAATGCAATGGGTTTGGAGTGTTGTAGCATTGTGTTGTATTGCACAGGTGTGGGAAGTTTACGTGGCATTTGACAATACATGGGATGGCCCAAGTAGAATAATTGCTGTGATCCAGTCTGCAGGGAAAGAAAAGTATGAGTAATAATGATGATGTCACCTACGTCTGAAAAATGTTTTGGGTGTACAAGTTGCTCGGAAATGGCTAGCTGAAGGCAATTCTTGTCCCAAAACTAATGTGGCACTATTACTGTACACAAGTCTCTCTTCAGGTCATATCTTTCACTCAAGTTCTGTCACCATGCAAAATACAACTCTAGAAAGCGCAAATGACTCAGAATAAGCTATTTCAAAGATCTCTAATACTGGTCAGTTTGCCCAGAGACTTTTGTGTGTTCTCCTACACAACAATAAATATCACCTAGGAGATATGGCTAATATATGGTCACGCTTTGAAAGTTCTAGTTCTCTGGAGTTGAGGTATGACTGTACCAAAGCCAGGCTAAAACAATCCCACAAAAAAACTGTCTCCTTGAAGGCAGCCATCAGTCAAAGCTTGCATAAGACTCTTCTGATATTATACCAAGATATCTGAAGGGATAAGTTGAGAGAAGATGCTTCATACTGTAAGTGGAAAAGGGAGAGGAGTCTAAGTCAGAAACTGTTCTGAGGCAGTTTTCTAAAATGTTTCGCTTCCCTTTCACTGTTTATAATACAATCACTTGTTCTTACTCAATTTGCCGTTGGGATCCAGATAAGCTGTTGACTTAGCACTTCCATTACAATGTTGTCTAAACATGCTATTGAGTTAATTTTTTTTTTTCACTGTCTTTAACTTTTGTTGGGTTATACTGCATGCCTGAGCATCCTCAGATATTAATACAGGAACAGGATAAGCAGATGTCAGAGTTATCAGCTTGTGTCTCCAGGCTGAAACTGCTAACATACGCTGCTGTGAAGGTTAACGTATGAGATCTCTTTCCCCTTGTCTTCCTCTTTTGTCTGTGGGCTGTTCAACCCTTGGTTTCTGAAAGTTCAGCGGATTTTAATGGTAAGATTTGGGATTGTGTTCCCAGTGTTTCCTAGGATGCAATAATATGAAAAAACTCTGGCACCTGGAGCACTTGCAGGAAGTAGGTATTCAAGAAAATGGGTCTAGCTGCCGGGCAGCAGAAGCTGTGTTTTGCTGAAGTACGTTCATAAAGTTAATGACAAAATTTGGGAATGAGCCTGGCGAGCCAGCTCCCAGATGCCTTGTTGTAAATTAACTTCTGCAGCGAAGCAATTCTCTGCTCTGGTACTGTGCCCTGATCTGAAAGTGAGTTGAAGGGGGTGTTAAGGACACACCTCTGTGTTTCTGAATGACTTCAGTTGCTAAGTGTGCCCTGTTACATGGAGGGAGGGGATGGTGCTCCATGCATTCTAGCCAGCTGTTGACTTGGCTCTCACTGGTCTCTCCAAGACATCCCTGTGGCCCAACGTCATCCGTGAACTGCAGAACGGCGTGAGGCTGCGCAAGGCCACTGAACGACCGCAGCATCATGCGCCTCCAAAAGAATATATCCGCTCTCCCTATGAGTTACTTTTGGATGATATTCAGCACAAGAGGTACACCCTTCGGAAGGTGAGTGACTGGAGGCAATGGACAACTTTGAAACCACCTGCTCTACCTCATTTCTAAGCAGTGTTGATTGAGACCTCTTCTCCAAAAGCCTGTCTTCCTCAAAAGTACTTCCAAGTCCAGAAGTGTCTGGGTCTCCCTCTCAGCTGCAGCTCAACATTAGATCACTGTTTGTCCACCCAAGTGCTTCATTTCCAGCAGCTTTTTAATCAGGGGTAGCCACACTTTCATGAAGCTGGATGGTAAACTTTTTCTCCCTCCAGGGGTCAGCCCGTCCCTTCCCTGGAGCAACCATGCTGCCTTGCACACGACAGTTGAATGAAACAGACCCTTGCCTGCTTATGCTTTTCACCTTGGACACTTGTGTCCTCCCAGGCTCCTTGAGCTGAGCTGTGCTTGGCATCTCTTACTAGTTTCCGTGCCTTCCCAGATGTTGTGCGATGTGTGCAAGTGCAAAAGCACTTCTGAGCGAGTCCTTTGCTCAGCTTCAGGCAGAGGCCTCTAGGCAGCGTACATGAGCTAGTTTAGCTAGCAGCTAGGCAGCAGTTTAGTCAGGGTAACAGAAGCTGAGCCCCCTCCAGGGGTAGCTGCTGTGCTGACTCAAGTGGTAGGGGCTTCCAGCAATGTGGATGGTTGGTGAAGATGACCAGATGCAAAAATGTCTGGGGTGTCTTTAAAGGCTTGTGAAGCTGTTCGTTTGCTGCAGCTTGAGCTGGGAACGATGAGCAGATCTAAAACATTGGCATAAGGCTTTGTGGCATTGGCGTGCTTTGCAAACAGACGTCTTGGCAGAAGATGAGACACAACTCTACTTGTAATAAAGAGCGATATTTTAAAAAGTGAAAACTTTGCATACCACACTAGACATCAGCTTTTTTCTCCTTGTTGGTGCTGCAAGAGTGCAGGGGGTTTAAAAGTCTCAGCTAAACCATGCACCTCTGTAAAAACCCAGCTCTTGCTTGTCTTGACGTGGCTCCAGCCTTCAGATAAGGCTATGATATTTCTCTGGAGATGATATCTTGCCTGATATATAAATGAATAGTAGTGGAGAGGAGACAATACATCATAGCTGCTTGTGTTCCTTGCAGTGTACTATCAATGCACTGTGCAGTACAAAACTGTAACTCAAGGTGGCAGGATGAACTGGATCTTGATTTTATTTTTCTTTTTTTTTTTTAACTTTTTTCTGTGGTCAACGAGAAGCACAAACATGTTTGAAGAGCAGTAGTCAGAAATGCTAGAACAAAGCATAAAGTGCTACTGCTCAGGTCTTTGAGAAGGCTCTTTAACGAGAATTTCCCCATCTGCAAAGCTATTTTAAAGCTTCTCTAGCAAACAGTGGTCTAATTTGCAAGTGAATGAAAGCACAGCTAGGGTGGGAAGCTGTAGTGTTGTTCTACCTGCACTCCCACGTGTTCTGAAGTTGTACACACAGGGAAAGTAAATGGCATAACCTCAAAGTAAGAATAAGGGAACAAGGCAGCTAAAGACATGCATGTGCAACTTGACTTTTCTGTCAGTTCTCCCCTATGCAGCAAGCACAGGGCTTGATGAGGGAGACAGCCTGCCTCACATGAATACCTGCCCTGCAATTCTATCTTGCTATTGTTCCTAGTCTATATGGGGCTGTAAGCCAGTCCCTGGGACTCTAGCTTATGCATACAGCTGCCTGCTGCTACAGTTCTTGTTACAGCCTTGTTAACCCATTCAATTACTCTCCTGCCTGGAGCTGAGTTCTCACTGATGAATGCGATGGTGCTTGTCAGGATCACTTCTGACATGAAAATCCGAGTACAATGTTTTCCAGTGGCTTCTCAGAGCAGTTCATGAGCTGCAGGGGCTAGAAGGCTGTATGCTTCTTGTGCAAGCCTCAAAGGGCTGTCCAGCCCTTCTGATTGCCTCTAGTTTGCCATAGGCAAATCTGTCTCTACCAAAAACCCACCTAAGTAAGCCTCATCATTCTACACTTCCCAGCTCAGTTTTGTTATGCCTTCCCCACCTCCTCCATTCCCAGATCCTGGCTTGAGTCATGCACTGTGCCACTGAATGGGAGGGTGTACCAGGAGTCGGGAAAGAACTATCACTTAACCAT